TGAATTTCGCCCTAGAAGCAATGGAACGCAAAATGTACACAGCTTCTGTTTTCACGGATATTCAGCAAGCTTTCGACAGGGTGTGGCATGATGGTCTGCTGTTTAGCTCTACCAGCTAGTTAGCAGTTTCCTAAAAGGTAGAAGCTTCAGAGTTGTCGTAGATGGAGCAAAATCATCAGCTCTAGCGTAATAACTGGAATAGAAGATCACGACGTACAGATTACGCCGACGATACGGCGATACTGACCAGAAGCGTAGACGTAAAGTTAGCTACGGAATCCTTACAGCAAGATGTTTGTAGCTTTGAGGACTGGGCGCAGAAGTGTAACATTGCATAAATAGCACCAAATGCGCGAGTGCCACCTTTACAACTAGACCCTTATCCTCCGAAGGCATCAATATGCTGGGCTCCACTTTGGCGCACATGACCTCACACAAGTATCTAGGCGTATTACTGGACAGACTCCCGAACTTTCAAGCCCATACGACTATGGTAAAGAAATCGGTTTTGGCGAATGCTGGTAATATGGCTAGTCTGCTTGCTCCCAAAAATAAACTGTCATTACACAGCAAAGTAGCGATCTATTAAATGATTCTAAGCCCAATATGGAAGTATGCATTTCAGATCTACGGTGTTGCATCCAAAAGCAACATCAAAAAAATCAGAATTGCCCAAACAAAAATTTTTTACAAAAATTTAAATGTACATGAGGAACAGGAACATTGAACGGGACCTACGGGTTCCCAAGGTAAGCGATGCCCGTCAAATCAATGCAGCCAGCTATGTTCGACGCCTAACAAGTCACCCGAATGCGCAATATATAATTAGATTAAGCTGCCCCATAGGTAGCAGAAAACTAGTTTAAGACGCATAACCCATTTAACAAATAAAAAAAAAAAACAACGATATTTTTTTTCTGTATATTCCACTTTGTTAGAAATTTTGTAACGAATTCAACGAGGTATGCCATTCCAACATTCGAGCACTATTTCCCATGGTTTTCATTAAAAAACCGATAAATCGAGGTGACTTTCTCCGGACTTGGGCTTTGTCATAAGGGCGTTTTCGAAAAAAATGTTCAAATGATATTTTTTTCTGTAAATTCCACTTTGTTTGAAATTTTGTAACGAATTGTAGCGCAATTCCAACATTCGACCACTATTTCCCAGGGTTTTGATTAAAATACCGAAAATCATGGTGATTTTCTTTGGATTTTGGAGTTGTCATAAGGGTGAGGGTCATCATTATACCCTTGCAGAGGGTATTATAATTTTGGTCAGAAGTTTGTAACGCAGTAAAGGAGTCGTTTCCGACCCTATAAAGTATATATATTCTTGATCAGGATCAAAAGGGGAGTCGATATAGCCATGTCTGTCTGTCCGTCTATCCGTCTGTTTCAATACCGTTTGCGAGCTCAGTTTAAAAGCTTGCGATCTGAAACTTTCACACTCGTCCTAAAACATGTGTACGCAGATCAAGTTTGAAAATCGAAAAATCGAAAATCCCCGACCGGACGTCTATATCCTATAGCTCCCATAGGACCAATTTTAGTCCAAATTTGATGTTTTTCAGAATATTTCGCGCTGTGTAAAAGCTATTGCTATAAATTTTTTTTCAAATCGTATTTTTTTATGCATTCCTTCATCAAGGTAAAAGCGCGTGCTGATCCGACGTCTATATCATATAGCTCCCATAGGAACAATACGGTGAAATCGGTCAAAATTTCATGTTTTTAAGAATATTTCGCGCAGTGTATAAGCTATTGACATACATTTTTCCAAGTCTTATTTATTTACGCATACCTTGATCAAGGTAAAAGCGCTTGCCGATCGGACGTTTATATCGTATAGGTCCCGTAGGAAAAATTGTTAAAGGCATCGACGCCTTTAACAATTTTTCCCTTTTTTTCCTATTTGTATATGACAATTTTGCAGTATAAAAGCTATTGGCATGAAACTATGCAATTTATCTAATTTATTTATGTATACCTTGCTCAGGGTAAAAGTTGCTGCCAATCCGACAAGTACATACTATAGCCGCTATTTAAAAATGAAATTAATTACGTATAGCTAATCTTTGTTTTATGTATAATTACAGAAAACTTAATTTTTTTATATATAATTACACAAAATGTATTTCATATATATATTTAGTATTTGATTTTATATAATTACAAGAAATTAATAGTTGATATATTCCAACATATATGTCGCATTTATGTTGGTCGTCAATAAAATGGTATTAGTTCTTCTATATAATTAAACATATTTATTCATTTATATTATTTTTTAATATTTGATTGAAAGTTTGGAGTATCACCACAACTGGGCTCGTTTTTGATTATGTTTTTCTATCGTACATGTGCCGTCCTCCTCGATTCTCATAAAAGCCTTGTATATGCGCCATGCATTTTAAACCTGAAGAAATTGACTCATTTTTGACCATCATGATTATACTTTTTTTTATAAACGCTGTGATCTCGGAAGCTATAATATTTCGAGGGTTGGGGTTTTAGATTTAGTTTCCTTTGTTTTCCATGCCACGCCCACTCTAACGCCCACAATCGCTAACTAAGCTAAGGTCTGTCTAGCGCTTTAGATTTTATTTTGATTATTAATATCCATCTAACACCAGAATATTTTTAAATTTAATTGCTCATAAGTTTTTAATGAGTTATAAGCAATCAAAGTTTTCCCCAATAGATGGCGCTAGTTTAAAAATCGGAATCGGTTGCTCTGGCAACCACATTTTTTAAGGAGAGAGAGAATAAAAATTCTTCATACGCATTCTACTAGTGACCATGAAGACCATTTTTGCTTCAGCCAAGTGCCACGCCCACTAAAATCTTACTAGCAGCCGCATTTCAAATGATTTTCTAAAATTGTAAATCGATACCAATATACTCATTCAAAATTGTTCAAATCGGACCCTTGGCTGAGTAACTGGTATATGATAGTCGGGACACCTGACTATAGCATTCACTGTTGTTTTATTTGTAAATTCTACGTTCCAAAAAATTTTCGAATCGCTCCAATCGTAATATTTTTTTTAAGGTTTCAATATGTACGTTAAAAGGCTTTATTATGACGCCAAAAACTTTAAACCTGAAGGAATTGTCTCATTCTTACATTTTGTTTTGATACTATCAGCGCTGTCCTCCTCGATTCTCATAAAAGGTTTATGTATGCGCCATGTATTTTAAACCTGAAGGAATTGTCTGATTTTTGGCCATGTTAATCGAACTTTTTTTGATGCAGGTGCTGTTCTCCTCGATTCTCACAAAAACGTTGGGGTGTTGGGCTGCGATATTCGTAATTTAGCTTTTTCTCGGAGTTTAGTTTTGTGGTGAAGTGTTTGTGTGGAAAAAATCGATTTGATGCTTTCGTCAGTCTTTTTCAAGACTTCATTGGAAACCGAGAGAGAGAGAGTCGGAACGCGAAGAGGATGCTGGGCGTCACGCTCTGATGCGCTCTTTCGAGAATTATAGGATAATAGATCAGGAAAGAAATACCAGGGAGCACGTTATTAGAAGGTAAGATCCGAGTTATAGAGAGTCGGAACGCGAAGTGGATGCTGCGCGAGTTAACTTAGGTAGATTCTTCAATAAATGTGTGACGCTGCGCGCACAATAAATAAGAATAAATGCATGAATTAAATGAATTAAACAAATAAGAATAAAAGCATGAAACAAAAGAAGTATTTAATTTCAAATTCAAACCGAGAACGCGCGCGCGCCAACGATCGCGCATATAGGGGCACACTAGACCGAGAGAGAGATGGTCACACTTAGCCCGGCATATCCCACAGACAACGGGCACACTAGATCTCGCCGAGCCCTATATAAGACGGGCCACGGGCCATGGAAAGGCACTTAGCAGCCAACCGTCTAAGGGTGCAGAGGCATCTCCCTAGTGGTGGTAAGCAGCAAAGTCATTTTTTTGGTGGACTAGATCATTCGATCAAAGTCCGCTTCTATACATTGTAGTTAGTTCCCGCACTACTTCCTCCCCCCTCTAACCATCCCGGCTTGCCGAGCTGAAGGTATCCCTAGGAGACGGCTGATTTTAGGATCACACCTCCTTACAGCACGGCTCACCGGCTGACCTCTCTCTCTTGCGGCTGACCTCAGGGTCCCCAAGCACCGACTTCTCTCTCTCTCTTGCGGCTGACCTCAGGGTCCCCAAGCACCGACTTCTCTCTCTCTCTTTGCGGCTGACCTCAGGGTCCCCAAGCACTGACTTCTCTCTCTTGCGGCTGACCTCAGTGTCCCCAAGCACCAACTTCTCTCTCTCTCTTGCGGCTGACCTCAGGGTCCCCAAGCACCAACTTCTCTCTTGCGGCTGACCTCAGGGTCCCCAAGCACCAACTTCTCTCTCTTGCGGCTGACCTCAGGGTCTCCAAGCACCAACTTCTCTCTCTCTTGCGGCTGACCTCAGGGTCCCCAAGCAACCAATTCTCTCTCTGCTGACTTCAGGGTCCCCGAGCAACAAATTCTCTCTCGTGTGGCTGACCTCCGGGTCGCCAAGCAAACATTCTCTCTCTTGCGGTCGACTTTCGGGTCCCCAAGCACTGAATCGATCTCTCTCGCTCGTGGCTGACTTCAGGGTCCCCAGGCACCCTATTCTCATTTCAGGTAACTCAACCCGTGCTGGTCCTATCGAGCAGCTGGACGGCTCCCGAGACCAGGTATTCTAAGCGTAAGAAGGAAACGAAGGCTGCAAGGGCAGCATCCCGCCAAACCGGTGAATTCGTTAGTTGTTAATAAATTGTCAAGATACTTACGGGAATAAAACCTAGTTCTAATTCAATTACTAAGTAATTCCCCACGACTTCTACTCTGGGCTGGGTCGGAACTCTCTTTCAGCAACCACGCCTGACACAAACAAATTCTTGTGACGAATCCTGGCCATCCCTGAGCCACCCGACAACGACAAACCGTCACAGTGGCGCCCGAACAGGTTAAAGTGGTTGCAAGAGATAAACCGACACCAGCGGAGTAATGTCGAGCTGGGTATATCTGGCACCAAAGAGCGAACTAACGAAATACACGGAAGAGTTCGGATTAGGAACGGCAGAAAAAAGTGAAGACTTAAGACGTTTGTTGGCAGCGTTCGCCAAAAGAACGGATCGTACGGAAACGGTCAGACAAAGACTCGCAGAACTGACAGAAAAATATAGGAGAGAAAAAAGCCCGGCGAAGGAAACAATTCCGGCGATCGTGGTAACCAGGGAAAGGGAGGAGATAACGGACACCAAAGGAGCAAGTCGAGGGGACGAAACGGAAGGAAAGACAGAAATAAAAATGGAAACAGAAGTCATAGACCGGGTACGCGGATGGGGCATCCGGTACCAAGGAACAACAAACCCACTGGAGTTCCTAAGCAAAATGGAACAGTGGGCAGGCGGATACGGAATACTTAAGGACCAGCTGATACAGACGATGCCATTCATCCTGGAGGGGATCGCGAGTGATTGGTGGAACACCACGCCGAGCAGGATCGTAACATGGACTCAGCTCAGAACAGAACTTCTAGAATACTTTTTGCCGCCGAGGTATGAGGAACAGTTGGAGAATCAGATTGCACAGATGAAACAGAGAGAAACGGAGCCCGTAAGAGAATACGCAATGGGGCTACGAAAACTGATGCAATTCACGAAACTCTCAGAAGAGGCCAAACTGGACCGAGTGTACAAAAACAGCAGGAGCAAGATAAAGCTGTACGCTAGGAGGGCAGGAATCAACTCGTTGACAGAGTTCCTCAAACTAGCGGAGGAGGTAGAAGGAATAGAGGCAGAGGACCGGGCACTGGCAATCCAACCTGTGCAGCAGCTAAGACCAGAGATATGCATGCGCTGCGGAGGAACCGGACATGGTGCACGCACGTGCAACAATCCACCGAGGCTGTTTTGCTGGGTCTGTGGAAAAAACGGTACGAGAACCACGGAGTGCTGCAGGGCAGGGCCACGCAGGAGGCCTGAGCAGATAAAGCTGGCAGCTCAGGGGGCAACAAAAGATCCAGCAGCAGGGGAACAGTTGTGTTGCGACGGGTTCCAAATAGTAGCCCGAATAAGGGTCGGAAACAGGACAGCGAAAGGAATCGTGGATACAGGAGCATCCAGGAGCGCTATAAGCAGAAACAGATATCAAGATCTGAAACACCAGGGCAAATGGTGTGGAGCCCGTGCAGAAATAACAATGGCCAACGGAACGACGCAGAAGGCGATAGGAGAGTTCACAGCAGAAGTCCAATTTGGAGGAAAATTGTTCAGGGTGTCGTTTATGATACTGACAGAAGTAGCAGGAGGAATACTGCTAGGGATGGACTTTTTGGCAGGGGTACACAGCACGCTGAGGTGTGGAAACTTAGAGCTGGAAATAAGAGAGCCCGGAGGCGAAGAAGAACAACCGGAGACGAGTACAGAGCAAGAAGACACGACAGGGGAACCATCCGAAAAGGAAGTACAGGACTTTCTGGAGACACAAAGGCAAGTATTTTAAGGAATGCAGGGAACAAGTAATATAACAAAGCATAAGATTTACCTCAAGGATGATAAAACGATTAAACAGAGGTACTATCCTCGAAATCCGAAACAGCAGGCAATCATCAATGAACAGGTGAACGAGTTGTTGGCACTGGGACTCATAGAACCCTCACGTAGCCCGTACAGCGCGCCAGTAGTGCTAGTGAGAAAGAAGAACAACGAGTGGAGAATGTGTGTGGACTACCGACAACTGAACGACAAGACGGAAAAAGACGCCTATCCGGTACCAAGAATGAATTTCATATTGGACCAGTTAAGAGAGGCAAAGTTCATCAGTACAATAGATCTCAAGTCAGGATACTGGCAAATCCCAATGGATAGGGATAGTAGACAATACACGGCATTCACAGTCCCCGGACGTGGACTGTTCCAGTGGAAAGTTATGCCATTTGGGCTAACCACAGCTCCCGCAACGTTTCAAAGAGCACTGGACTCAATAATAGGGCCAGAAATGGAACCGTTTGCATTTGCATATCTGGACAACATAGTGGTTATTGGCCGGAGCAAACGTGAACATCTGGAGAAACTAACAGAGGTATTCGGGAGACTACAGAACGCGAACCTGCGGATTAATCCAGACAAATGCCACTTCTTCCAAAAGGAGCTAAAGTACCTGGGACACGTCATAAGCGATCGGGGCATACGGACAGACCCGGACAAAGTAGCGGCAATTCGAGACTTACCAGCGCCGAGATCCACAAAGGAATTACACAGCTTTTTAGGAATGGCGTCATGGTACCGACGGTTCATACCAAATTTCACCGAACAGGCAGGAGCGTTGCAAGGTTTAATCAGGAAAGGACAAAAACTTGAATGGACCAAGGAACAACAGGAATCGTTTGACCAACTGAAAACGAGCCTAACAAAGGCACCAGTACTGGCATGCCCCGATTTCACAAGGCAATTTAAACTGCAAACGGATGCCAGCGACTTAGGCGTAGGCGCGGTCTTAACGCAGGACGGAGAGGACGGCGAGCATGTGATAGCGTTTGCCAGCAGGAGGTTGAGTAAAGTAGAGAAAAATTACAGTGCAACTGAAAAAGAATGCTTAGCAATATATTGGGGCATCAACAAGTATAAGATGTACCTCGAAGGCTATCGGTTCATAGTGATAACAGACCACATGGCTTTGAAGTGGCTAAACTCAATAGAAAGCCCGTCGGGAAGAGTAGTCAGATGGGCGCTAGGCCTACAACCATTCCAGTTTGAAGTCCAGTACAGAAAGGGAAAATGGAATGCGGTAGCAGACGCCTTATCCAGAGCACCACAGAACGAGTTAAAAACAATACAGTACACGGAGACATGGATTGAGGAAAAATACAAGGAACTGGAAAGAGACCCAAAAAACACGGAATTCAAAATAGAGGCAGGCAGGCTATATAAACTGGGTAGCAATCGGAGAGACACACAACCATGGAAATTGTGCAAAAGTGGCAGAAGCACCGTGGGAAACCATATGTGTGGATTTCGTGGGACCTCTACCCAGATCAAAACACGGGAACACCACACTATTAGTAATCGTGGACAAATTCTCGAAGTGGGTAGAACTTGCAGCAATCAGACAGGCTACAGCGGACACATTCCTACGAGTCTTTAGAGAAAGGGTAATTGCGAGAGTTGGATCACCAAAAACTCTGATCTCGGACAATGGGGTCCAGTTCACAGGAGGAAAAACAAGAAAGGCCATGGAAAAATGGGGGATACGGCAACAGTTGACGGCACCGTACACGCCCCAGGAGAACCCTACCGAGCGAACGAATCGAACAGTTAAAACGATGATCGCACAGTTAGCAGGAGAAGATCAGACCACGTGGGACGAACATTTACCAGAGCTAATGCTAGCATAGAATAGTAGTGTCTCGGAATCTACAAAATATAGCCCTGCACAGCTAGTATTCGGGAAAGAGTTAAGATTACCAAACACGATGTTCGACATGGTAACAAAAGGATCGGGGCTACAGGAGGAAAGTATAAAACCAAGATGGAACCGGTTAAAGGGCGTACGAAAAGAGGCAACGCAGTATACAGAAGAAGCCGCGGAACAACAAAAACACTACAATCTACGGAAAAGGGACTGGAAACCAGATGTCGGGGACTTGGTATGGTGCAGGACGCACTATCTGTCAAAAGCGGCAGAAAAATTTAACGCCAAACTAGCACCAAAGTACGACGGCCCCTGGAAGGTAACCAATTTCGTGTCACCAGTGATCATGACAGTGAGAGACCAGAACACCCGAAAAACAAAGAGAGTATACATCGGAAACATCAAACAGTACAATACAGAACGAACACGATGCACTATCACCACATAAAAAGCACAATCTATCATTGAATACACATAACCAAACATTACACAAATGCCACTACTCCACAGCATTACGTAACAATTTTACGACACCACTCGAATCCATGACGGGGGGGAGTGTGACGCTGCGCGCACAATAAATAAGAATAAATGCATGAATTAAATGAATTAAACAAATAAGAATAAAAGCATGAAACAAAAGAAGTATTTAATTTCAAATTCAAACCGCCAACGATCGCGCATATAGGGGCACACTAGACCGAGAGAGAGATGGTCACACTTAGCCCGGCATACCCCACAGACAACGGGCACACTAGATCTCGCCGAGCCCTATATAAGACGGGCCACGGGCCATGGAAAGGCACTTAGCAGACAACCGTCTAAGGGTGCAGAGGCATTTCCCCAGTGGTGGTAAGCATCAAAGTCATTTTTTTGGTGGACTAAATCATTCGATCAAAGTCCGCTTCTATACATTGTAGTTAGTTCCCGCACTACTTCCTCCCCCTCTAACCTTCCCGGCTTGCCGAGCTGAAGGTATCCCTAGGAGACGGCTGATTTTAGGATCACACCTCCTTACAGCACGGTTAACCGGCTGACCTCTCTCTCTTGCGGCTGACCTCAGGGTCCCCAAGCACCGACTTCTCTCTCTCTTGCGGCTGACCTCAGGGTCCCCAAGCACCGACTTCTCTCTCTCTTTGCGGCTGACCTCAGGGTCCCCAAGCACTGACTTCTCTCTCTAGCGGCTGACCTCAGGGTCCCCAAGCACCGACTTCTCTCTCTCTCTTGCGGCTGACCTCAGGGTCCCCAAGCACCAACTTCTCTCTCTTGCGGCTGACCTCAGGGTCTCCAAGCACCAACTTCTCTCTCTCTTGCGGCTGACCTCAGGGTCCCCAAGCAACCAATTCTCTCTCTGCTGACTTCAGGGTCCCCGAGCAACAAATTCTCTCTCATGTGGCTGACCTCCGGGTCCCCAAGCAAACATTCTCTCTCTTGCGGTCGACTTCGGGTCCCCAAGCACTGAATCGATCTCTCTCGCTCGTGGCTGACTTCAGGGTCCCCAGGCACCCTATTCTCATTTCAGGTAACTCAACCCGTGCTGGTCCTATCGAGCAGCTGGACGGCTCCCGAGACCAGGTATTCTAAGCGTAAGAAGAAAACGAAGGCTGCAAGGGCAGCATCCCGCCAAACCGGTGAATTCGTTAGTTGTTAATAAATTGTCAAGATACTTACGGGAATAAAACCTAGTTATAATTCAATTACTAAGTAATTCCCCACGACTTCTACTCTGGGCTGGGTCGGAACTCTCTTTCAGCAACCACGCCTGACACAAACAAATTCTTGTGACGAATCCTGGCCATCCCTGAGCCACCCGACAACGACAAACCGTCACAAATATCGCGGGGTATAACCCGACCAAATAAATTAATTGTAGTTGATGGTTTCGAGTTGAAAATCAGAATGAATTCTTTATTTTATAATTCTTTGTTCAAAGCTTAGTGTATACGTACAATGTGCTGACCTAACGGAATGGATTTGTAATTGGACCGGATGCATATATGGGGCTTGGACTCAACAATGGCCGCGATGTTTGTTCGTTTGGCAACTTAGTTGCCAATAAAATGTTTGGTTTCTAGCCGCTTGTCAACCGGAGGGGTTTAGGTGGGGGACCGCCGAGGGAAAGTACTGAAGCGGTAACTCCTCCCTCCTCAGACTGAACCACCGACCATAGTGGAGCGTGTGAAAGTGACAGGTGGAGTAATGGTTGGTGCGAAATTAGCAGGTGGGGCGACTGGTGTGAAAATGGTCGTTCGCTTGGAAAAACAAGCCACGGCTAATACTATTATTAGTATCACAGACAACATGGTGTATGTCGTTGTCGTGCGAATTGTTGCTCCCGTTTGTATCCTATTGATCCGTAATTTCGTTTCCAGATCTTCCATTTTCAGCTCATGGATTCCCAATTCTTGGGTTGTTCTGTTCTTCTTCATGGTTGGAATTTGTGGTATCTCTAGTTTTAGTTTTGCCGTACCAAGTTTCTCTACCGCCTCATATTGGACGTTGTTCACCATGGCTCTGCACTCGCTAAATGTGATTATTGCTGACCCATTTAGGGTTCTGTTCTGTCCACAGTCTGTTTGCAGTTTTACATTTTCTCCGTTGGTCTGGTTCGAAGATCCTGGTTACGAGTCCGGCATCCCTTGTTTCACAATCCGCTTCCTTTCCGCTAATCAGACTTTTAAGACATTCTTCATTAATTTGATTTACAATCTTATCATTCTTACAAATATACAAATTCCTTATCTTCTGACATTTATCTTTATAATAGTACATTTCTTCTTTATTGTTTACTACATATTCTGGTGCAATTATGAATTCTGTTTTATTCATTGGTAAGGGTACCATTCTCTGTAAGTAGTACTCCCCTTTTTTTAACATTGGTAATCTTATCGAGAAAATTATATCTGTGTTATTCATAATTGTTCTTAGCTCCAAAAAATCATACATATGTTCCCCTGATACGATCTGTATTCCTTGTTCCTCCAACTCTTTTATGCATTTAGCTGTTTCTTTTTAATCATAAATACATTTTGAGATTAGCCCAATCTTTGCTAATAATAAACTTTCGGCTAATTCATTCAAATTTAGCCCTAGCAAATCTATTGTTATCGCAATTCTATCGATATATTCTATCCTATAAATCCTCTTGTCTTCCTCTAAGAACGTCTTGCTGATTCCATTTTTGTAATTATTAATAAATGTCGTTACTCGACTTTGGTCATCGTTTATATATTTCGTCAAGTTCTTAAACATTATCGTGATTTTAGCTCCGGTCCTCTCTTGTGAATTCAAATTCTCCTTCAATCTCCTCTCCTCTTCTTGCATTTTTCTTATCTCTTCTTCTAGCCTTTCTGCGTCTTCCGCGTCTAAGTTCCCTGTTATGGATTTAACTACAGATCCTAATCCATTGATTAGTCCCCTTGCTTTCCTCTTCCTGGGGCATATTGCCTCTAATCTGTTCTTGATCATCTGTAATTTGTTTTGCAAAACCTTAACAAGGTCCTTGTTTCCGCGTCTTCAACTACTTCTGTGAGTGTTCGTTCTAACTGTTCTATTGCCTCTTGATATTCTTGTAATTTTACTATGTGTACTAATGTTTTATGAGTTTGAATTATCTTCGCAGCGCCTAGATTTATTTGCGCTAGTGGTTCTTCCCCTAGCAATTCGCCGCCTCTATTCTTTTGTTCTTTTCTTGCTGAACCTTTTATTTAATTTTTGGATAAAGCTCTGCTTGAAACGCATTTCGTTGTTAAAAGACACGTTATTTAGGAAGTTATGCGTTCTCCCTGTGAACAACTCCTGCGGTGTTAGTTTCGTCGCTGAATGAATGGCATTATTATAAGTTATAAACGCCTCATCCAGGACTTCCTCATGCTTGATTTCGAGTTTCTTTTTCCTTTTGGTCTCATCTATTAATCTATATATTTCTGTGATCGTCGAGTGCAGTCTCTCGACTGTAGAATTGCTCGATGATTGCTGAAAGGATGTCGTGTGTAGCTCTAATTCGTACTGCCTACAAAAGTCCTTGAACAAGTTAGAAGAGAATTCTACTCCTTGGTCACAGACTATTTTTTTAGGCACCCCGAATAAGGCCATGAAACTTTTTACTGCCTTAACGATATTTACGCTTTCTTTTGCTGGGACTGTTAGTCCCCAAGCGTATCTAGAGAACTTGTCAATTATGGTTAGCACACTTTTCTTGTTTACGAAATACAAGTCGATGTGCACTATTTCCATAGGTCTCTCTGGTGTCTCTGTAAGGCTGTATTTGATCTTGTTTGGTTTCCTATCGTACTTCTCTCTTGCGGCTGACCTCAGGGTCCCCAAGCACCGACTTCTCTCTCTCTCTTGCGGCTGACCTCAGGTTCCCCAAGCACTGACTTCTCTCTCTAGCGGCTGACCTCAGGGTCCCCAAGCACCGACTTCTCTCTCTCTCTTGCGGCTGACCTCAGGGTCCCCAAGCACCAACTTCTCTCTCTTGCGGCTGACCTCAGGGTCCCCAAGCACCAACTTCTCTCTCTTGCGGCTGACCTCAGGGTCTCCAAGCACCAACTTCTCTCTCTCTTGCGGCTGACCTCAGGGTCCCCAAGCAACCAATTCTCTCTCTGCTGACTTCAGGGTCCCCGAGCAACAAATTCTCTCTCATGTGGCTGACCTCCGGGTCCCCAAGCAAACATTCTCTCTCTTGCGGTCGACTTTCGGGTCCCCAAGCACTGAATCGATCTCTCTCGCTCGTGGCTGACTTCAGGGTCCCCAGGCGAAAATCGTCTTTGACTTTCAAAGTGAACGGTCGTGTTTTTTTTCTGCGCTTCGAATTTTGTATTTTGTTTTCGTTTATTCCCATCGGTGGGTTTTATAAAAACAACATTAAATTTTCTTTCGGTTATTTAAACATAAATTTAAACTCCGTTCGCTTCGCGAGTGCACTTTGTATTGATACTAATAAATTGTTTTAGTTTTTCGTAATTCTTATCTGTGTTTTCT